TGTGCTTTGTAATACCTTCAGGTGCTGATCAGTAAGCAGCGTGATCACCAAACAGGAGGCTGATCTTGACAGCTAAGTTGCTTCAAATTCAAAACGGTTTTTGTTGTTGTTATTTTTTTTTAAATCTGACAGCAATTTTCATAGTTGAAATAGTGGCATTAATAAKGATGGAAATGTGACAGAAACTCAGTTTTGGATAAACAGTCATAACAGACGCAGTGTCAAAAATGTATGAGTTAAATGAAGACAGTCCAACACAAGTTCAGATTTGGATATCTTATACCCATATTGTAAAGTCTGCTTTGTGCTCTCTTAACATACAGTCCCATGAAACCTGGAGCAATCTCAAAGGTAACCTGAAAGTTTTCCTCCTTTGGCAGTTCCTTCTTGTCTGTTATCTACAAAGGGTCACCAAATGTTTACTGATGATGCCTATAAAGACGAGGCTGGCAGGGCAGCACCCTAAGGAGACATTGCTTGGACCCCAAATCCCTTAAATAAAACGAATGCTCCCTAGAAAAGCAGATTTAAGGGGAGCACTGCTTGAGAACAGACATTTCCACAGGCCGGTCTCGGAGATTTCAAAACAGAAGGCACTGATACAGTCACGTCTCCTTCCCATCTGCTTTTCCAGCACTAAATACGCATCCCGCAAGTCAGGAGGCAGTCAGCCCAATCCAAAAGAGCGTCCGTAGTTTATTCTTGTACCTCAGCCAAGCACATACATTTTGCAGTACGAATGGCTAATACTTAAAGTAGTTCAACCTGTTTGGCCTGATTTGCAGCTTTCTGGGGCAGCTGTTACTTTCAGGAAGAAATTACAGTTCTTGTGAGGAAGGCAGAGCGGCCAGCCCAGAACAACACTTGTAAGGATTGAAGAAAACCCACCAAAATGCTTTCTTACCACAAAGCACATGTGTAACAGCCATCCTCTTTAGCCAAGCAGGACTGGTTTAACCAATATTTTAACCCTGCAAGTGCATTTATCAGTAAATCCATGGACAGAAGAACGCTCAGCCGGAGGTTAACGGCAACCTGAGGAAGAAATCTACTGCAATATATCTTTCTCCACTAGCCAATGTAAAGATGCTATTTAACAGCAAGCCTGCCATGCCCAGAAATACAGCACTGAATGGAAACTTCATCAATTTGCTGTGGAGCACTGCCATATTACCCTGACTTTAAATAACCACCTTATTTTTCAGTTGCTCTTTGTGGCTCTCAGTGCCAACAGCATGAGAGCGGAGAGGCTCCTACGGTGCAGAGACATTTAGCAAGCTCCCATCCAGCGAGGACAGGCAGGCACCTCGGGATCATTGGAACCCCGCAGCTTGCAAGGGCAAAGCTTTCCGGAACAAGGAGCAGTTTTCACACCCTGAACTTGAGACATTTTACACGGGTGCTTTGTTAGCACTGCAGTAATTCTGCCCCTTTCCTGATACTTCTCTAGGAAGGTACCAAAAAACATAGCACTCAAAATTGTTGACCATTGCTGAAACTCTTGGTATAAATAAGTGACTTAATTTCTAGCTACAGAGATTTTAAAGAGATGAATTTAAACCTCAGGAACTTTCCTGTGCTCTCCATAAAGTATGTATTGTTTTAAGCCTGTAAAACATGGACTTCCTAGTTCTTGAAATCTGATGTAGAGACAGTTTCAGACCTTCAATTCTGTTGAGATCTGATGTAGAGATAGTTCAAACCATGTGCAAAGCAGCAGGAGGGAATGACGAGAACTGGATTTCTTCCTTGCCAGTTTTTTGGGAAAACAGGAATGAGACCAAGAGCTAGAAATGCTACTAAAAATGTGCACACGAGTTAAGAGAGTATGACAGGGTGACAGTAAGGCCCCACTAGRGCAACTCTTCCTTATTAACCATCACCCAGGCCCAGAAATGTGCAACCCCACACAGCAGACACACATTTTCTGTGGTTTGGATAAGAACTGTGAGCGAAGCCACACACCTCCACTGGTGGGACTGGCTACAGAAATGGTTAAATCAAAGCCCTTTACAAATTCAGAGTCTTTATGATGGATTAGACTGGTGTTCCCTGACTTGTTTGTGCTTCTGGCTAGTCTGCTCCCAATCCTCTGCCTACACCTCACCTTCTCATTCCCAGTTTCTTTGTATCAGCCTCACTGATAGGAAGGCCTCCTTATCTATGCCCCTTCAGTGATCTCTCCTCTACAATTTCTATTCTCATTTCATTTATCTTCTGCTTTCCATATACAATCCCCCAAAATCTCTCACTGAACTCTCCGTTTTATTCCTTATTTGGGTTATGAATAATATCCAACCTTTCACTCATCCTGCCTTTAGGTCAGGAATGTCTAATCCTGTATGACTGTACCCAGGACAAAAAAAAAAAAAAAAAAGTGTTCTGGACGAGCTCTTTCATAGAATCCTCAAGGTTGGAAGGGACCTCTAGAGGTCACCTAGTCCAACCCCCTGCACACGCAGGGTCACCCAGAGCACAGGGCTGCGTCCAAGAGGGTTTGGAAGATCTCCAGAGAAGGAGAGTCCACAGCCTCCCTGGGCAGTCTCTGTCAGGGCTCTGGCACCCTCACTCTAAAGAAATTTTTCCTTAAGTTCCTGTGGAACTTGTGGTGTTTCAGTTTGTGGTCGTTTCCTCTACTTCTATCAGTGGCCACTGAAAAGAGTCTGGGTTATACAATAATGAATATAGTTGTCAGCAATAAAGTAACGGCCATAGTCATGCCAAAGACTGTACATGGTACAAGTGAAGATGCAGCAACAGAAGGCAGAAAAATACTCATGGTAGTCCTTAGCCTACACTATCTTCTTACTGCTACAACTCAGCTTGCTTCTACAGTGAGAGCAGTGAGAGCTGCTGCCTGGCCCCTGTAAGCAAAGAACCCGGCTTTTGGTGTCCTTCACAAAGCAGAGGAAAGGAAATTTGTGCAAACTCGCATAGCCTGAAATAGTTCTTTTCAAAGTATGTCAGTAAAAATAGGTTTCATGTAAGYCTGTACTAAAACAAAGGCTAATTAGAGACAACCACTTCTTCCTGAGGTCAAGAGAAGTTACACTTGGGATGATTTTAGCCTAGAAGAGCCACACTTACCCAAGTGATTTTTTTAAACTCAGGACACGTAATATCACACCTTCATTCCTACATGATGTTAAACTGCTAATGAAACAAGCTATTTTGATAGGAAGACCCAACCTACTTGAAAATAACACTTCTGTCTCAGCATTCTCTACCCAGTGTTAGAGCCAAGATTGCTGTAACTTAAAGAAGTTAGTCCAATCTTCTCCCACTCCTGTTTCTGGGCACTTCTCTCTCCCCAATCCGTGTAGCTGGCAGTACTCTGTCGATCAACAGCCCCATCTTCTCCATCTGACTACCCACACACAACAGCATTTCTATGAGATTGCAACCAAATGCAGCTGATCAGTCAACACTTCTTCTCAAGATTTTTCTTTCATAATTTATTTTAATTTACAAAATCCCCACAGTCTCCTATTCCTCAGCTGTCTACTTGTAGAGACATCCACTGTCAGGATCCAGGAGATTGCTGATAGCTACAGCAACCCAYTGTGATTGTCAGTCAAGTGTTGCCAGAACCCTGCCCTGGATTTAGAGCTCAGAAATACTGAAGCTGAAACGATCTCAAGAAAAAAACATTTTGGATTCACTGTGTCAGCATCTTTTTCTCTCATTGTGCTTGGACATAAAATTTCCACCTACATCTTTAAGTAACCTACCAGCAAGTCCTGTTGCCATAAACAGGACTTCAGCTCCTACCTTGCAGGGATGCTCTGAAAAGCCATCTCAAGCACCAGCACCTCCTTTCAACGCAGTTACGCTCGGAGGGTAGGAAGCAATGGTGTTCAAGTCTCAATCAAGACATTCTGCTCATGCTCAGTTGTGTTCAGCTTCTCATCCCAGCCTTTCACTGAAGCACTGCGCTCAAAGGCCCATTAGCGTTACAGCAAGGAGCACACCCGGCCTGCACGCATATTTGAGCCAGCTGATTGCAAGAGAAAGACTCAAAATCCCAAAAGACTGACAAAAAAGGCCTTCTGTAAAGGAGCACAGCCTAAAAGCCACATGTGCAGGGTACTGCAAAGCCCTGAGCGCTGCTGTCCAGGCACTGGGTATGTTTTGGATCGCTCCATACAAGCCTCTCCCTCCTCCCTCCTGGGGCTGCAGAGGCACCTACTTTAGGTTTGCTGCAATTAGATGATGTGGCTACATCCTCTCCTCTTCATCGCTTACTCCAACTCCTTTTAACTGCAARGCTCCCTCCCACCAACTCTTATGCCGCTGGTGGAATTAAATAGCTCTGTCTGTCCCACTCAGTTAAGAGGAATCTCTCTGCAAGGGTCCAAGCCTGGTAACAAGCTAGAGACAGTTCCTGGGGTTTAGCAGAAAGCTTCTGAAGAACTACACTTCTGCAGCGGAGGGTTTAATAGCTCCAAGCCTGTAAAGCTTTATACAGCTCCACAAAATGTCACTAAATTTGCAGCTATCATAGCGGAGATGATTAGCCCTGTGCATATTAAACAAAGGTGTCGGGAAATCTGCTTCGCATATTGCCGACACCCGCACCAATTCCCACTGCTTCCCCAGCGCAGGCTCCGCACGGTTTGTTTTATTTTGATTAAAATGAACACATTTCACTGATGCCCTCCAAAGGAAGGCTCGCCTCCAAACTCATGCACGCACCACGGATCTACTGCACTTTGTCAGCAAAACAACAGCCATCCCGAAAGCGCCTCCGAAAAGCCACGGGCTCTAACACACACCAGTCCATAAGGCTGCCCCTGACGTAAGGGATGCGGAGCTGCAGCGCGTGCACAATCGGCTCATTTGGTGCATTCAGCAGCACGGGACACGTTGTGCTGGTTCACACGGGAAGGCTGCTGGAATTAGAGGAAACTGCCACATTGCAATTCAAGAGCCATGAAGCAGGTTAGCGAAGTAGCAGCTAAGTAAATAAGCAAACAAAGAGATACGTAAGTTATCATTACCTTTGCTCCACAGACAGTGAAAATGACCTTTGTTGAAAGGCTGGTTCAGAATAAGAAGGCAAAACTTCATGTTTCCTGTAAGAGAAATGTTGATTCTTATTAGCAAGAATATTGATTTTCCCCCCCTTCTTTATTTTGCCTTTTCTCTATTTAATTTTAGTCCAAGAATCTTGAAGCAACTTCACCAATTTCCTTGCTTCTTAGGTTTCATCATTTGCAGGCAGAGAAGCTGCTGGAGCTTCATTAGGCTCCTTTTACTTGATAGGCTTGCAGGAAAACCTTTTAATTTAGAAGAGATTGCTATCCACTCAAGGCCATCCTCAACAGGACCCTTCATTTATCCAGTCCCCTTGTTTAATCTCCCGCATGTTGCTGGGGTCTCGATACAGCAYTTATTGATATTAGCTCAGCCCTAGCCTCTATTAACAGGGGAKGCTGTGGCTGACTCGGAATTAAATTCTAACCTAGGTTCACTAGCCCGTTCTCCCAGTGGCTGCAGGACTCCTGCTGACATCCTGGTTTATCCCGCTTCCTGCTCCTACSCTTTCCCATCATCTCGAAGCTCTGCACTGTGGCCGACACGCTACAGACACGAACAAAAGGCCATGCCCAAGAAGCTTCAAACAAAGGCAGTCGGGGCAAAAGCCAACTCCAGCCTCCTAGCTGGGTGCTACCACTGACTAAAAATCACCCTGGATTTACTAGCGGCCCAAACTGCTCCCACAGACTGATCAGGCTCTTTTCTAAAGCCTCTTGCCCTACAATAATATGCYACAGGGAGAGACAAAAATAAACTTACAAATATAAAGGTCTTAAAATAAAAGGTTTTCAAGAGTAAATACAAGCCCTACATCTTATTAAGAGTTGCTTGTGCTGGGATTTGCATTATATTTCACTTCCTAATTATCATGCCCRTCACACAGGAATACAGGTTTCCCCTAGGGCTTGAAACTCTTAGGCAATCAGGTTAACCAAGAATTATTTGGTCACATGCAGGCACTGTAACTCAAAATAAATAAATAAAGGAGATTGTCTATCTCTAAAAGGTTCTTTTAAAAGGATTTGGGGGCTTTTTGAACATTTGGGGGCAGAAAGTCATATGAGATTACAAGGGAAAAAAATAAATGATCAAACTGATGTAATAAAGGTGTAGGAATGTCTAGGAATAAGGAGGTGGAGGGATGACGGTAATTTCAAAATCACTTGCTGATCAATAAAGTAGGATAAAAAGCTGAATAAATAGGAGACTGGAGCACYGCTGTTTTGCCCGTCACCTTCCAAGTCATTCTGAGCTTCACTACGAAGCCCTTTGTGCCTTAGCTTCATTCATCCAAGAGTGGAGACAACAGCAGCGGTCTCCACTGTAAATGTCCAGAGTTACGGCACTGCACACTCCGATCCTATCTACTTTGGTAAAATGCGTTTCCCACAGACCTCTTCTGGGTGATCCYTAGTCAAATACCTTGCCTCGTGTTCCACATTTGCATCTTTGCCAATACGCTCCACACCTCTATTTTGCCCATGTAGAGCACATAAAAGGGAAGAAGCCAACAGCAAATTTACTTAGAAAAGACTGGAAGGGTCAGAGGACCAATAAAGAGAAGTGGGCAAAACCCTTTACTTCACTTACTCTGAACAGTTTTGCCTTGTCCTTGAACTTAGAGACAAAGGTGGAAAACAATATATTCCAACTAAGTAGCAATTTCCAGCTGCCTCGCAAAATGGGACCTCAGCAGCAGATCTGCTAATGATGGTTAAGTGAGAAAAGCTGCCAGCCCCTTATATTAAACACAGTCACCCAGTGATGCCCTCCGCTCAAAGAGCCTGCAAACATAACAGGTTCCTTTATGGACAAAATAATACAAAGAGACAGGGACACCGCAAACCTGCTCCTGCAGGCGGATCACAAAAAGTGTTCTGATGTCTGCTTTAAGCCTGAAGTCATATCAGGATATGGGAGACTGTAGCTTTTTTGGAACATTAAGTGGCATCTTGCTCTATATTAAGACATGCATGCGAGGACCAGGACCTGGCTGAGGATATCCACAGAGGTCGGTTTTCAGAAATCCCATCTCCAGGGGCTCCCTGCGAGATCTGTAGAAACAGTGGGTTCTTACTTGTTCAGCTGATGCAAAGGAGAAAAGCAGCAGTTGCTTTCCTCCCCAGCACACCAAAGCAGAAAAATATAAATTGTTATCTTGCCTGCTTCTAGAAAAGGTAGYGAGCACTCCAGTCATTTCAAATAACTCCAATTAATGCATGATAAAATGCTATGATTAATGTTACCCAAACAAGCCTAAATGTCAATGTTCTAATGGTGCTCACTGAGTTAATACGAAGCGGCATAAAGGGTTCAGTCCTCAGTAGATGTAAAACGGTAATAAAACCGGACTGCAGTAATTTACAGTCATTGGCCTCAAAGCTATTAATAAATTGGGACTTCTGATGGCAAGGCCTGCATCGGCGGACAGAATATGCAGCATCCATCACTGAGAAAAGCGGCTGAGAGCTCACTCCGCCACTGCTCTGGGTGCCCTCCTGGCTATTTGCTTGAAAACAAACCTACTTAAAGGCCATTTATCTTTAGAAGGCCCATAACAAACTAGGGAGCCTCTATCTCACGGGCTGTCTGCCCATGCATTTTTCACCAGGATAATTAGCACCCTGACCCAGCCATTAACGGGGCTCTGCTGGGCGAGCAGGGAAGGGACCTCTGGCAGTAGGAACCCGGGCCCGGAGCTGCCTCGGCCGCACGCGGGGACGTCTCGGCTGCAGAGGCTCCCGCCGGCCTCGCCGCCGCGCRGGCAGGACAAGCCGCTCTCTTGCCCGGCCTCTTCCCTTCTTAGCAACTTTCATTATGCACTTTCCTTGCAGCTTTTGCAGAGCGAGCAAATTCGGCCATCTGCAGCACAAGTAGAAAAGAAGAAATCCTTCCAAATAAAGCCTTCAGCTAATTTTTGAGACTTAGGCCGGCACAGAATGCACAAAGCAGAGCCCCCAACCTAAGTTCTCTTGCAGGGCTCAGTAGAGGAATCCACCAGAGTCAAGGCTAACTTTTATGGGACAGAGGACTAGACAGGTCACTGTAAGAAATTCCTCCATACATTCAGTGAAACCGTTTGCTTCCACTCTTCCCCACATATTCCTTTTGCTGACTTCCTTTGGGCGTAACTTACGGCCTCACGCAGTAGCAGATGCACAACTGTGTCAACAGCCAGTGWCGCCCCCTAAAACAGAGCTAAGAAAAACTGTTCACCCCATCCACACCTTCCCAAGGACTCAAGGAAAAGACCTCATCTTTGGACAACATTGGCACATTTTCATCTGGTAGCACAGAAGTAYTTCTTTACCTTCCTAGGATTAGCTTATGACCAACAGTACATGGCCCCACTGGGGTGGTCAGTTAACGTCTTCCTTTCTGACAAACACCCTTTTATTTCTCTACTCCGTTTCCACCATTTCCTTAGTCTCCTTCCTCTTTGACTAAGCTTTCTTCCTCATTGCTTATAAAGGATTTTAATCAAAGGTGTTGTGAACATCTCTCCAAATGACAGTTCACGTTATGCCTTTATATCCCATTTCAAYACTTTCAGAAGAAATTTAGTACACTTTAGAGGCACACATTTACTCTCCTAAAAGCCTTCTTGGCTTCTCCCTGTCATATTGCATTCATCTAGCTATTCTATAAATATTTATAATATCATTATGCATTTTTTATTGATTTCCCCTTGTCACATGCCAGTCTTCAGACTGTATGTCTGTCACAAATCATATTCAAGAGGCATATATATTTTTAAATACAACCTTTTGTCTGGCAGCCAGTATAATAATATACTCTCCTCCTTTGTTTCTTCTCAGCATTAGAATAATATTGCCAGAAGTCATTCAGCAGACTGCAACTTTCCTGACTATTGTATTTTCCAAGTGGAAAGAAGTTCATTACTTCCAGCAAAAAGCCCTGTGGAAAAATCACTGTTGTTCTCACTCTCAGCGCAGGGATGGAAGTGGTAGCACTTGATGGGTACATGTCGTGCCAAGATACTGGCCTGCCTTGGGGTGCAAATGAGGTAGGAATCCAAAGAAGGAGCTTCAACCACCAAAAAGGTCTCCTGCCAAGGCCTGGTTTAGCGCTGGCCCCAAGGGCAGCTCTTCTCTACCTTTCCAGAGATCCATCTATGGGCCTCTACAGAGAGGGGCAGGTTCGGTGTAGAGCAAGGAGGAGGAAAGAGATGCTTGCTATAGGGGAGAAGAGAGTTCTACAATTAGCAAAATATTTCATTAGTATAAAGTGGAAAGTTGCAAGCAGGAAGACAGCCATAAAAATCCAGACACTCTCCTCATTGGTAAAAATACATCTAGCTAGTCAAGACATTAACCATGTCTTTGCAAAAGATTCTGCAGAGCTCTGAATCRCTCACGTTTCTGATCAAGTAGAGCCCAAATATACGATGAGCTTTTGCAAGAGAGAAACTGGGAATGAGCCCACTGAAAATTCCTTCCTGTACAGGACAGCAAAGGGAAGCTCACACTGATGTTCCAACCCCACTCTACTTTCCAGGCTTCAAAAGAAGAAAGGTAATTTAGCTTCCAATAGCATCATTCAGAAAATTCGAAACTATGTTTTTAAATGAACAGTCACTGCCTACTTATCTTATCATTGTCAGATATGTGGGAAGGGAAATGGAATTTTTCCACAATTCCAAAATAGCAATGCGGATAAAAGAGAGCTGAGCAAACAGTCAGCGGTTGTTCTGTTGTGACAGCTCAAGTTTCTTCTCCTGTACAAGAACTAGCACCGAAGCTGTGATTCTAAGAATACCACAGAGAATCTATATTTAGAGGAAGCCTATCATAACCAACYGTAAAAAATCAGCTTATGAAACCAGCAAACATAATAAAGCAACTTTTATGCAGAACTCCAGTGCAGATGGGTAAGRGTATTGCTACTGCTAAACAAGAAAAGGTTGCGGAAACCCTAACTCTAAATAGCTACCTCACCTTTTACTTCCAAGATTTTCTTAAAATACTCTTGGAATGAGAGACCTGGTTGGTGCATGTTGCTAAATATGGTCAAG